TGTGCTGGGCAGCAGATCAACCAAGAAGTATAAGGGAACAGTGGTTCCAGCTGCACGGGCATAGAAGGCTCTGCAGGTGAGATCTGCCCAGCAGGGAAATCCAAGTTTAGCAGATCACTACAATTCTCCATGAAACTACCTTTAAAAGATGGAGCCAGGAAGGGGAAGAAAATATTGAAATCCACAAAAGAGGCACAAAGCTCACTTTGGGTGTGTTTCATCTGTCCACTCCCAAGAGCCTCTCATTGCTAGAAGTATTCAAAAGGGAGTTAGAATTTTCGTCTAACTAAATGAGGAAAATGAAGGAAGAAATGGTTTTGTCCCCTCTTCATCTTTTTCCTCTCAATCCTGGGGCCAGGATCCTTAAGGGTAGTGAGTGGGTAGGAGGGGAGAAGAGACGGCCCCAAAATGAAGCTCATGGCTCATGCCTTTCTCTTCCTCTCCATCATGGGCACAGTGTTCTGGCTCCACTTATAGGGAGAGGTAGAGGAAGACACAGTAATAGGAAATCACTAAGTTTAGAGCAGAAAGGGGTCTCCAGAGATGACATGGAGAGGGAGCGGGACACCGGGAAGCAGGCTGTGCAGGATCAAACCCCAGCCCCACTCTTTACTAGCTGGGTGATGTCAGGCAAGTATTTAACCTCCCTGTTCCTCAGTTTCGTCGTCCGTTCCAAATGGAGATGATGATAACACCCTTCTCCCAGGATCACTATGAGAATGCTGAAATTTGCAAATATTTGTAGGTATTATTATTGTCAGTGGAGGCAGTCCTGGGGCTCTAGGCTGCACTGATTCACACTCTCATTTCGGGAAGTGTGTGGCGCTCCTGTCTTTATAGAGAAGTGTTCCAAGAGAAGCCACAGCATTTAAGTTTCACAGTCAGCTTTCCTGAATTTAAGAGATGGGTTGATCTGTGACAACTATTCCCCGAACCAAAATGGCAGCTCAGCAGCTTCATCCTGGGGATCTTCCTCCAAGTTCATTACATTCACTTTCCTCTCCCATCTTGGCCACTTCCAGTCTTTCATTACTCAACACCCTCTCGTGTGTCCTCTCCGCATTTGGCTACCAGGAATCAGTAGAATAATCCAAACCCATCCCATTCTCTCTGTCCCAAACACCTGGCCTAAGATCGCCTCAAACTTGAGTCACTCAAATCTCAACATGGGAAACATGAGGTCTGGGTGGCTCCCCAGCTTGGCTCCCTCTAACAAGGGGGTTACAGCAGATGGATTCCTCTCTGTGACCGATTATTTTCCATGGCCTTTGGCCATGTGACCTCGGACCATGATCTTGTCAGTTCTCATAAACTAACCAGGAGTGGAATGAATCACACTCAGAGAGGAAACCTCTCGGGGAAACTGCAAGGCGCAGTGAGGGAGGAGAGAGCCGGGGATCCCAAAGGCCATGGGAGACTCACCACCCCTCATGCCTTCCCTGTCTCTAAGCAGCTTTGACCTTACACAAAGGGAAAGGGGAGGAGGCAGTGGCCAGGGGAGGCAGGCTGGACTGTAGGAGCGCTACTTTTCTGAATAAGATTTAGGGTCTCAACCCAAGAGCCCAATTGTCCCTACTTCCGTCAACTCAGAGAAATTACTGGCCTCAGCTGCTCACTTGGTTGTGGACACCCAAACCCCTACTCTTAGGCACCCCAATCCACCATAACAACATACACGAAATAGCCGACAACACACATTCACGTGTGCCCGAGTACCCATCCCTACTCCGAGGACTGGGTATCCTGCAGGAGGTGATGAAAATGTTGGGTAAGGCACTCTAGGCCCTTGACGTTGTGTTGATGGTGAAGAGGTTTTGAGAATGCTGCTTGAAGGGTTTACATTACAGCAAACACATTGATTAAAACTGAAAATGAAATGCCAACGAAATCTTCATATTCTCCAATATCCCAAATTTGGGTGTTGTGTGCACAAAACACTGATCTTCTCTGCCTAAATTTTTTTGCTTTAAATAATCTTTGAATTTCCAAGTTTTGTGTCTCTGTAGCTTTAGATCATGAGTTTCCCCGAGTTCTCTGACAAGTGAATATATTGTTAGAGAAATCATTTCTGAATAAAATATGCACACGTAAACAAATCCCTTAACTATGTATACATTCTAATTACATTCTGGGCATTCATTTGATTGGGTCCTGGGGAGAGAGAACAAGTCTGTGTCGGTGGACAGAGCACATGAATTTATCCACACACAGAAACTCAGAGCACAGCACGCTGTTTTAAGAGTCCGAACTTTATCTTTCAACAAAGTTTAGCTGCTTTCCTTTTGCAAAGGCATTTAATTTTATCTGGAAACTTTCTGAGGTTAGAAATAGAACAACTGTAGTTTCTCATTATGTTTGCTGCCAGAATCCATGCTTGGTTGCTCAACTAAAGACCTTATATTGCTAATTACAACCACATGCCCGTATCCCAAGCGCAAGGAAACTTATTGATTCTGACAGCCCATTCTCTCAACACTGAATTCCAAATGAAAACTCAAAATTTGGCCAAACATAACATTTCATCAATCTTGTTTTACTGACTGGAAAAACAACATCAAACAAAGGGTGCTAATGGCCCTTCATTACTGTGCCTTTCCCAAGCTTATATTTTCTGATGAAAGATCTAAGTGACCAAAGGGCTTCTTTAAACTACTTAGTAATTAGCTTTTGAACCAGGAAACAATGCGTAAAGTAAAGTGAACAGGCCCGGTGCTGATGACAGGACGGACTCTGTGTCTGCTGGGTCGGGAACAGTGGGGACCCAGAAAGAACATTAAAAGCAAAGTGCATTTTCATAAAGGGAGAAGAAAAAAGAGAGAGAGAGAGACAGAACACCAGGCTAAAAGCGGTGATAAAAGATTACAGAGCCAGAACAGAATGGCAGGAAGTCTGTGATCTGAAGTCATCAGCACCTGAAAGTTTGAGTGGAACTGCCAGGGTGAAAGATGACCGGATCGGACTGTGGGCAGTGAGGGAGTGCCAGGCTGAGGACCCCATCTGGGTCACCCGGCACCAAAAGCTGCCGGCCTCCAGCCCACCCACCAGCCCACCCACATTTGACTAGGAAACCTATTTCATTAAAAAGAAAAAAATTACCTGGAATGAGAGTCAAGAAATATTTTCAACCTAGCCTTCAGGGCAATTGATTTTATTGACTTCTTCAGAGGCAGTGATTGGGAAATGCTGGCAGAGACAGTGGGAGACAGGGAGGCCATAAAGAGCCCCCCAGGCCCTCACAGTGCCTTCTGCTTTATGGAGACCTGTCCACACCTTCAAGGCAAAATGAATCGAGAGGCTGCTTTCCTCTTGGCATGGGATACATGACCAATGGGAATCTCTGGACTTATTTGGCCTTTTGGATCCAACCAATGGCCCAGAAATCAGAACAGCTTGGTTCCAACCTCATCCAGGGCTGTTAAGATAATAGTGAGGGGAGGACTCCATTAGAGGGAAGATGGAGGGATGTGCAGCCTCCGTGAAAAGACGCCAACTGGCCTCCTCTCACCCACTGTCCTTTGTGCCTTTGAAAGGAAACTGGTGTCCTGTGGGTAGTTCAAGAAAATGAGCCCTTTTGTCCACCTCCTGATTTCCTGTGCAGAGGCTTGGACACCTGAGCTCAGGAAGCACTGGACTCACTGACCAAAAGGGAGGGTCCGCTCCATCCGACACGGCTGACTGTCAAAACAAAGAAGGGGCAGCAGTGGAGGGAAAAACAACACTCCCGGTCTGATTTTATTTCCTCTGAAAAAAAGCCAAAGAAGCTCTTTAAGAGTTCAAATGAAAATGAACGAGAAGGAAAACAAAACAGTTCCATGACTGGGAAGAGGCAGGAGAGATGAAGGTTTCCTGTGTCTTGATCCGTATGGTAGGATGGTAGTTCCTGAGTGTGTACATAGGTACAAGTTCCTCGCTCTGTATGTGAAAGATGTGTACATTTAACTCTATGTAACTTATGCCTCAAACCAAAACAAACAAAAGTGACTGCCCCAGAAAAAGCTTTAAAAAATAAAGGATGGCTGCTGCCAGCCACCTCTCCCCCACAGTGTTCCTATCTTGAGATGGTAAGGTGCTCCCTTACTTAGGAGAAAACCCTGGGGTCTCTAGTGAACCTGCACATTGATACTGAAAGTGATGAAGTGGTCTGAGCACACACTGAAATAGTTCCCAAGAAGAAAGCATTCACATTTGAAAAGAAGGCAAACAGAAGATTCATCAGGAATAGTGTGGAGCACCCTAAAATACCAGAACTATAATATTTCTTGCCCAGAAGGAATATCAGCTGAGTAATGAGTCCCTTTGAGGATAAGATAGGTGCCTCCTGGCTGAAGAGGAGAACTGGGTTCCCCGTGGCCACAGTGCCTTTGCAGTTGGCCAGATGACCTGGATCTGCCACCCAAGGACTTCCCTACCAGAGTCTTATCCTGCGTTCTTGCTACACACAAACCATCATAGGAGGGCATCATACCAGTTTGAGGGACAAAAATTTTATCACGTAGCCAGATGATGTGAAGAATGAATGAGTTTTGTCTAGTTATTAGGGGTCAGAGCAGAAAATATGGGCCCAGTTATAAATGGACTCCTTTCAGGACAAATCCATTACAGCTCTTGGAGTCTGTGAATGGGAGTTGGTCCAAGCGTGGCAACGTCCTGGGGTCACCTCTGACATCACACCCCATGCAGAAGGTGAGCCTTCCCTCATAGAAGCACCCGCTGGAGTGTGGGGGGGGCACCTCCACAAGGGACTCCTGAAAATCACTCAACCACGTCTCTTCTGATGCAACTGACTTACTTTCTGCCTCCATGTTTGTTAAAAGTCCCGCCGAATTTATTCCGATTCAGGATGAGAGCAGCAATTTCGGGCACGTAGCGGGCAAACATTGCCTACATGCATGAAACAGAGAAACAAGAGCCAAAAAAAAAAAAAAAAAAAAAAAAAAAAAAATGGCATGCAGAGAGGATTCTACCGCAGCGGAGGCAGCAACACCTCTTGTCATACTTACTTTCTTCCACTAACCGCACTATAGGAGCCCCCGTATTTCTTGCGGTTTCCTATTAACTCTATGATTTCAGGGACGTAGCTGGCAAACATGGCCTGAGAAGATAGGAGACAGAAGAGAGACTAAAAAAGACAGGCCAAAGAAAAGCGGGGGCGGGGACCTGCTCAGAGAGGGGGTGACTAAGATCTGAAAACACAAAAGGATTAGGCCCGCGAAGGTATATATTGATACGTTGGGTCAAAAAAAAAAAAAAAAAAAAAAACGCACAAAGAGAGCAAGCTCCTGGAAACACGCAAGACAAACCAACATTAGTTAACCTAGACAAGTAAACAACAAAAACATCGCAGTCGAGAAAAACACAAAGGACACAGGAACGAATAAGGTGATATCTAGTTCTTCTTTTGGAGAAAAATAAGCAAAAGGTGCGCATGCCACAGAAATTAAACACACACAGACACGTGCGCATGCGCAGACACACACACACAGTTTTGCAAGAGATCTTTCCTTCTCATTAAAATTCAGAGGAGAATCAATGCTTTTATGAGTGACAAATGAAAATAGACACCAAAAGGTTAAAAACTAAATTTTTCTATTAAAAAAAATACTAAAAAGCACAAAAGGGAAATTTAGGGAATCACCTGGGAAGAGAAGATAGCAAGGAGAAACACAAATCTGCCATGTTTTGTCCAACAAACATCTTGCCTGTGGCTGGCTGGATGGGTCTTGTTGTACCTATGGGCACCTCGCAGATGCTGCAGAAATGCTTGCTTGAATGTACACGTGCACATGCACATTTCTATACATTTTTAAATGTATATGCCCTATGCATACAAAACAGAGAGATGTGTATGCATCACTAAATATAAATGTGAGTGCAGTGTACATACATGAAAGCTGTGTATAGATTAGGATTTTAATCACTCACTTCATAAATGGCAAAAAATCTAAACTTAAAATGAGTGACTTTGAAAGACAAAATGCAGCAACTGCCAATGTGTGGCCAGAAATCCCCTCAATTTACATTATAAGGGATGGTTTAGTGCAACATAAAGAGCTGCCTGGACTTTTAGAAAGCAAGCAGTGAAACTTTCTTTCAAGAAAGGAGGAAAAATATCCCACGTGTCCAACGCAGAATGGAGTGAGCTGTTGGCAAAACTGCACTCTGCTCACGTGGGGACATCCGCCTGGACGAGACCAAGGTGCTGTCTGTCCTTTGATGTAGGGACCCTTCTCTTTAGAGCAGGTTCCAGCCACAGTGTTTGTTGGAAGTTTGGGGAGGAACACAAAGGGGAAGGGGCAGCTCTTGAAACCGCAAACTGTCTACAAAGTATCGACAGCTTCTACCAGGTGACAGCCACTGTCCTTGCAGCATATACCGGATGCTGAATTACATCGCTAAGGGGTAGACACTCTCCCTCAGTAACGGCATCACTTTCTTAAGACAGTTAGGTTTGCTCCTGGCTAAATGGCTGTCCCTGACAAGGGCAATGTGCCCGGATCTATGGGACAAGTAGAATACACCAAGAATTATGCAGAAAAATCACCCTCCTTTTGGATCTACTTAGGCTTGTTGTAACATTAAGGCTTGCTTCCAGTGCAGAACACAGTCTAAAATATGAAGCGTTAAGGAAATGTATCGTGGAAAATATTAACCATCCAAATCAACCTCATAATAAAGATTTTTTTTTTACCAGTCCCCCGAGGATGAAGAAGACCATGAAGAGGCGGCCAAGCGTGGTTTTTGCATAAACATCCCCATAGCCAACGGTGGACATTGTAACCATGAGTAAATAGACACATTCCCAGTAGGTGAGAGCCTGGTTGTTTTGGAAATTTTCCCATGGGTCCCCTGAATTCTCCACCTAAAGCAAAAGGGACAGGGAAGAAAAAAGGAAAACATGGGACCATTGAAGCATATATATACAATCAACCCAGAAGCTCGGCACTCCTGCAGGCCACTTGCTAACACACATTGCTCTCCACAGGAGCTGTGTGGTTCCGGGGCTGAGTTCTCTGAGTCAGGATGCGGAGCTCCTGAGCAGGACACAGAGAAAGTGGAGAAGCCGCAGCAGAAAATGTCTTCCTGGCTGACTGGGACAGAGTGGGAAAGCAAGAAGGGAAGTATCTCTAGGCCATTTTTCTTCTTCTGGTAAAATGTCTGAAGCCAGCTAATATTCAGGGCATTGCCTGTGGCCAGGTTTTAGAGCACTCCAGAGAGCCCTTCCCTGACCTTCAACGGGTTTCTAAGGCCCAGATGGCTTGGCCCTGCCTCTCCTGCAGAAATCCTAAACCCTTCCACCGGGGGCTACCTCCTTCCCTCAGTTAGACCAAAGAGGTGCCTGATGGGCCTTGCTTCTTCAGATTCAAACAGCATCTCTGGGATCTGGCCCTGCTCTCCCTCCTTTGCAAATTGCCAATGGTGGTCCTAGCCTTGAGGCTGCCGGAATCTTCCCACGGGCATGGAAACTGAGCTCATGAGAACAGCTTGCACTGGCACAGCCCATTAGACCAAGAGCTGGCAAATGTTTTCAGCTCTGTGGGCCACACAGGTCCTGAGCAACTCTGTAGAGGCAAAACTTCAAAAACTGGGTGTGGCTGGATTTGGAGAGCTAGAGAGCTTTGGCCCAGGATTGGTTTGCCCACTTTCCTGTCCCCCCATCATATTTGACCTGCCAACAAGGCTAGAAGGAAGGCAGGAAAGGTACTTTAGATACTCTCAGGAGAGAGGGAGCTGTGGGGTCAGTTCTACTCAAAGGTGCCGGTGATCCATTTGCGGGGCCTGTAGACAGCAGCCCCCAAGCCTCCAGCTCTGCCTTTGCAAAATGTTTCCAGGGACTTGGCCTCCTTCACACATCAGTTTATCCTCAGTGTGTCATTTTCACAAAAGTTTCCTGGTGAATCAGAAGGGATTTCACTAATATTAATAGTAAGGTGGGGCCATCGTCTTATTAAAGACAACTGTCTCCTCCACATAAGTGATTTGGGTGCTGGGTGCTTGGTTACAGCAAGAATTAGGGTGATTAAGGGTGATTTTGGCCAAGAATCCCAACAGCATAAAGGGCTGGGTAGGAGACCCTAGATCTGGTGACTACATGAGCCCCGGCCCCCCACCCACTGCCATCCCAGGCCTGTCTTCCTTTGGGTGATAATTACCTAAATCCCAAGTGTGAGTAGTTAAACGCATCCTTCAATCCCTTATGCAAATAGAGGCTCAGCTACCGGTGGTCAACTTTATCCAAAGTCTCATAGCTAGACGAGGCTCCTTCTAGTTGTGACAGTCTAGGTTTGTATGAAACACATTTCCCTCAAAGGCTGTGCTCTCTAAAAGCAAGGGACAAGTCGGCCTTGGTGGGGTGTGAGAGGCTTGACTTCATATAAAGCTTTCAAAGAGTCATTCATAAAGAATTAACATTTTTGAGGTACAAAATAAACTGACAAGTAATCAGGCAAAAAACTCAAAGGTGGCTTTTTGTAAGGGGGAAGTGGAGAGAAATCGAGGGATGAATTCCTGTTTTCCAAAAGGTATGGGTCAAACTTACAACCTTGCCCCCAGCGCTTTTCCTGGTGTTTGCTTAGGAAGCACTGCCATCTTGTGGCCTACTGTAGTTACTGCAGACAAAAAGAAAATCTACCAAAGCCCCCACTGCAATACCTATGAGCAATGAGTGGAAAAATGCAGGTTAATAGTGCAAACATTACTCACCATTTGGAACTAGTTTGGGGTAAAAAGGTTGGAAACCCAGACAATTGAGTGGTTGCTTCCCATTTTCCTGTCTACAACCGAGGTGAAGTTTCTTTCCAGCAACATAAATTGTAGGTAATAAAATGACTCAGAGAGGGTCTTGCTGCAGGCAAGCGAGAGCAGAAGGGTCTTCGAGGTTACTCACCAAATGGATGAATCCAGCTGCAGTCAGCCATGTGCTGATAAATATGGAGAGCAGATTCACCAGCTTGATGGAATTACTGTGCGAGAGACAACAAGCAAAATTCCAGGTTACCAAGGGAAGGCCCTGCTGGGGCTGCCTTACAGGGTAACAGCACCCACTTGGGGGAAGAGGCCGCTGCATCTAACTCCCAACCATTTCTCCATGATAAGGGAATTCTGGACGGTGGCAGAAGCGGCTGGGATGAAGGTCAGGACAGAGCCTATAGGAATGAATTTAACTTTAGTAAAAATTAACTTTTAGTTTAAAAACTCTTCAAAGCTACAGAAAAGTGGAAAGAACAGTATAATGAACACTTCCATGCCCTTCATTTAGACTGACCAATTATTAACATTTCACCACAGGTGTTTTATCACCCTACACACTCTTTCTCTTATCCCCCTGCCTTTTATCTTCTCTTCTTCGTGTGCATGTGTGTGTGTGTGTGTGTGTGTGTGTGTGTTGGGCTAAACCATTTACCAATAAATCAGAGACACCATGACACAAACCCTAAATATTTAGCACTCCTAAGAAGAAGGGCATTGCACAGCACAATCGCAATACCATTTCACACCTCAGAAAATCAAAATGTAAAAATTCAGTAATGCTATTTAGTATGCAGACCTTATTTAAATGTTTCCACCTGCCCCAAAATTATGTTTATTGATTTTTCCACCTTAAATCCGAGGAAACAAGGACAGAGAGTCAATATTTTGGGCTTTACCAGCCATATAGACATTGTCACAAATACTCAACTCTGCCACTGTGGCTTCAGAGCAGCTTTTGGACAACAGGTACACAAATAGATATGGCTTTGTTCCAATAAAACTTTATTTACAGAAACAGGCAGCAGGCGTGGGCTGCAGTTTGCCAATCCCAGCCTCAGTCTCTTTCAATGTATAAACGACACCACTCCTTTGCCCATTTTTGTTTTCAATGACATTACATTTTGTGTAAAGCCAGGTTGTCTTCTAAAATGTCCCATATTCTGGATCCTGTTTATTTTATTTTTTTTGAGATGGAGTCTTGCTCCGTCACCCCGGCTGGAGTGCAGTGGTGGGGTGGCTCACTGCAACCTCCATCTCCTGGGTTCAAGCCATTCTCCTGCCTCACTTTCCCTAGTAGCTGGGATTACAGGTGCATGCCATCAAGCCCGGCTAACGTGTGAATTTTTAGTAGAGATGAGGTTTCACCATGTTAGTCAGGCTGATCTCGAAATCCTGACCTCAGGTGATCTGCCTGCCTCAGCCTCCCAAAGTGTTGAGATTATAGGCATCATCCTCCGTGCCCAGCCCTGTTTATTTTTTAAATAAATGTTATTGTGTATGTTTGAGGTTTACAACATGATGTCATCTACCATCTTACATAGTTACATTTTTGTGTGTGACAAGAGCAGCTAAAATCTACATATTTAACAAAAAGTCCAAATACCATACAGTTTTATTAGCAATAGTCCTCATGTTGTATATCAGACCTCCAGACCTGATCATCCTACATAGCTCCTACTTAAGTATTTCTGTTAAGAATCTCTGCAGAGATGGCATCACATCCAGATATGCCAGCCCATTGATGCTAGGTCCATTCACGTGGCTAAGGCGGAAATGCTAATCTCTCCACTGAGAGGTGCCTATTTCCCTTTGTAATGAATATGCCACCTTGAGTGATGGCCTGAGACCGCAGGCATATCCTGCTCCTCAACAACCTTATACCTAATAGTTTTAGCATTCACTGGTGTCCTTGGGTGGATCAAGTGGAACTCATGACATTGTGAGCTCCCTGAAAGCTGGGGCCTTGTCTGTCTGGATTCCAGGAGCCCTGGGTCCCTGGCACATAGCAGGCCCCTGTGACTCTGCGCTGTGTGCACTGGTGTCTGCCCCTGCTCTCTTCCTAAACTGCAACCTGTTCACTCCCACTGGGATATACCCTGAATGCTGCTGTCAGCAGGTCACTTCACTGTCCAAAGACTTCATGTTGACTAAAAGATGACACTCAAACTCTCTCCTTCCCTTGTCAATACCTTGTGAAGTCCCAGGTCTCCCACCATCACTGTCACATAAACTCATGAAAGTGCCATCCCAGCTAAACCTATTTACTATAGCTATGTTTACACTATTTACTCAACTTGAAAGCCCTTCCCATCTAGCCAAATATTCCCCATTCTTCAAAGCCCAGTTCAATCCCTACTGCTTCTTTAAAGTCGTTCCACCCACCTGTAAGACAAAGCGACTTTCCCGGGCTCTCACCTCCAGCCATTCATTGGTAATTGATCCTACTGACTTAAGATGTCTTTTGTAAAGTTTTAGGTTGCTATTTGACTCTTGGGTTCCTTGCTGCATCTTGCAGAAAAGAACTGTTTTCTATCTCTTGCATTTTCCCAGTAGTGGCTTAATATACAGCCTACAGGGTTGCCCAACCCATTGGTTTCGGTCAATTCATCTCTGTTATGACTGTCCTCTCTTACTCTCTATTGGAGAGCCAGTGATTCTGGAGTTTAAGATCACAGTAATAGTATCAGCTCGGATGTTGACAGTTCTTTCCCAGTGCTCAGCACATGCGCCACCATCCTAAGTGCTTTATGTGTACTAACTCATTTCATGCTCAGAGCGACAATCTTCCTTCTGTGGAACAGCACAGAGGAATCCGTGGTCTTAGTGTTTCCAGAGTTGATGCTGACAGTTCATGGGAAGAATAAACAGATATTTTCCATTTTCAGGGTGAGACTGATCTTTTGAGATGTGTGGAATAACTTTCTTCTGGTTCAAAAACTTGGAAAAACAACCAAAATGTCCATTCTGTCTCTCTTGGTAATTTCTAGAGTTGCCAAGTGATAATAATTGCCAATATTTATTGAGCCCTTATTATATGTTAGATGTTGTGTTGAGCAGAATTCTCTCCCGCCTCTGCCTTGTAAGTCTTCTAAGGTGTGCTCCAGCACTTGAGGGTAAGAAATAGATGAAGAACAGGTAGCCAGCAGCAAAGGGAGGGCTCTAGGGATGTGTGTGTTGTTCATTTTCTCAGGGGATTGTTAAATACCAAGTGGTTTCACTTACATACTCCTGGATCCTCAGGACCCAAACACAGCGGTGTCCCAGCAGCAATGCTGTGGAGTCCTCTTGAGATATTAAACTTATTTGGAGGCTGAGCCTCTCGGCACTGTGGGGAAATGACCTAAATATGATGATGATTAAACTCTAAATGATGATTACAGTGATATTAATAGTGCTTTACGGAGCTCTTGCTATATGCAGAACACTTCATCACTGTTGCTAAAACAGTACATGTTTTGCTCTGAAATCAGATTTTTTTATGACATCAGCATTATCACAGATCCCTAGGTTTAGGAATCTGCTTTCTAAATGAAACTCTATGACCAGGCATCTGAAAGCGACAAGCAAAAGATGCAAGGTTAAGCCTTGGTGGACATTCTCCACACTCTGAAATGTGAACCTTGCCTGGTTGAGCAGGGCTCCTTTGGAAGAGAGAGTGGGGGTTTCCAGGAGCAGGGCTGTGTGCTCTGCACAGCAAAGGTTGCGTATCTCTGCATGGAGATAGTCACAGCCTTCCTAACCAAGCCCAGGGGCCTGGGCCAGACATGAAGCTACCAATGATTACAATGATTCACACCGTTCAGATTCCAGCCCTCTTCCTACGCCTTCAGGGAGATTATGATCTTATTGTGAAAACCTGACCCGTATAAAGTAAATCATTCTCACATTTCTAGCACAATTCCTGAGTCCCCATCCCATGAGTTCTAATTCACATCAATGGACACAGTGAATCATTATAGGACAGGCACAGGATTCTTGTAGATTAGAGACCTCTTCCAAGAAACTGTGGATGTTCCAAGAGAAGGTCTGGCTCCAGAGATCACAACTGTAACCCTAGAGCTTCTGGGGCCTTTTGTCCTCTATATGTTTAACAAGACATGTTTCAGTTAACACAGAAAATGCCGTGGGCTTGGTACACAGAAGTGCAAATCTGTCCCTGTTCTGCTTGTCTCTAATTTTCCTCTTTGCTTCTGGTACTGCCAGGTGTTGCTGGCCTTGTTTTGCTTTACTGCTCTTTGCTGGACAGATGTAAAATACCCACCCCCTAAAAAGTTAACTGGACTGCACCGCACTAACATAAATGGTCTGAACTATGACATGAGTAAAGCAAAGTGAAATTCTGCCAGTTCGATCCATTCATTACCTCTAGATCCCTTCTCCTCTCTCTGCCCCAATTTGCACCACCTACAGCCATGCCCTATTACCTCCTCCCTGGACTACTGCCTCCTAATTGGTCTTATGGTCTACGAGTTCTTTGACGCTTCATTCTCATTCTCTATACCACTGTTGGAATTGTGGATCTTTCTAAAATATTAATCTAACCACATTTCCTCTCATGATTAAAATCCTTCAACGGCTCTCCTTAGATTCATGGGCTTGACTGAGAACAAAGAACCTGCATGATTTGGCCTCTCCCTGAACATCCCTTGCAATATCCATAGAGAATATTCTTCTTTATGATCTTTACCTTGGAGCCATTTCTAAGGTCATGTAAGTAGTAGTTTTAGTTTTGAAAATGTCTCCCAAAAACATATTGGTTAGGTATAATGATGACTCATTCATATAATGGAACGCTATGTGAGAAACCAAAGGTGGCGTAGTCGATGTAATCGTTATCTCAAAGCAGTGTGGTGTGGAGGCAATTTTATTCATCCTTTATGATTCTGTATGTTGTTGCAATGCTTACAATGAACAGATTTTAAAATTAGAGGAAACAGGCCAGGCGCGGTGGCTCACACCTGTAATCCCAGAACTTTGGGAGGCCAAGGCAGGCGGATCACCTGAGGTCAGGAGTTTGAGACCAGCCTGGCCAACATGGTGAAACCCTGTCTCTGCTAAAAATATAAAAATTAGCCAGCCATGATCCCAGCTACTTGGGAAGCTGAGGCAGGGAGAATCACTTGAACCTGAAAGACGGAGGTTGCAGTGAGCCAAGATAGTGCCACTGCATTCCAGCCTGAGCAACAAAGTGAGACGAGAGAGAGAGAGAGAGAGAGAGAGAGAGAGAGAGAGAGAGAGAGAGAGGAGGTGGAAGAAGAAGGATGAGAAGAAGAAGGAGAAAGAGAAGGAGAAGAAGAGGAGGAGGAGGGGGGAGGAGGAAGAGAGGGAGGGGAGGAAGGGAGGGAGGGAAGGAAGGAAGGAAGGGAGGGAGGGAGGGAGGGAGGGAGGAAGGAAGGAAGGAAGGAAGGAAGGAAGGAAGGAAGGAAGGAAGGAAGGAAGGAAGGGAGGAAGGAAGGAAAAAAACAGCAAGGCAATTCCCATTTTGAAAAAATGTGCTGAGTGATCCATGTTTTACTCATCAATATCTACTGTGGTCAATGAGACAGGGATTATAGCCTTTAAACACAGCTGCTGACTTTCCTCTGATTGTAGAATAAGTGTTCTATCACCTGTGTGTTAGAGCTCCAATTTGCAGGGCAATTGAGGAACTGCCAAAACCTCAGATGGTGAGAGGGAGTCTCCTTGCCTCCCCTTTAATTGGCCTGTTTCAGGCTATGAAGTATTCCAGGCCCCCTGTGGGCTTGCAGTTTGGGAAAGGGCCCTGATGCTGGTCATATACCGTGATTGGCCCATTTCATCCCGTGCACCTTAATTTTCCTCTGCTGCCTTCTCAATTCTGTATCAATCTTTCTGCCCACCTTATGCTTCTCTGCCCTGTTTCTTCCAGCTCTTGACCCAGTGAGGCAGCCAAAATACTGAAAATGAAATACCAATTCCAAATCATGATTTCGAATCGCATCACAAAGGCTCCATCCCTACCTAACACCACAGATTGGCAGCGATTCACTACCAAAGAGAGTCAGACAAAACCTCCCTAAGGATGATGGCATGGGTCCCCACCTCACCCTCCTGAAAAGACTACTATGAAAGCAGCAGAGTAAAGAAGAGTCACAGGAGAATCGCTAAAAGTCCAAAGCCCTACAAATGGCAAGGCTGCACTTTCTCTGGGAAAAGAGAGCTTTGGGATCCACACTTGGGGATGCCCAAAAAGGAGCCAAGATTAGCTGGGCCGGCACCTGGAGAGAGAATGGGCTCAGAGAGTCATCCTAGAACTTCTAGAGTTCTTACAATTACACGACGTTTGCTTCTGTCCCTGGTGACCTGGCCTTTCCTACCCTCTTAACCTCATCCTCCTCTTTCCACCACAGAACCCTTAATGTCCAGGAGTACAGAATTACCCAGTTTCCCCAAGTGCCATGCTCACACCAGTGTGATGTTTGCAGCTTCCTTGATTAGAAGACAACCCCGCTCCTCCCGCCCTCACATGCCCAGCCCCCAGAGGATGACACTTAGTATTCTACCAGGCTTATCCAAAGCACCCCCTTCTCCTTGAAAAGATCCTTGACTGCCCCACAACTCATGCCAAGCCCAGCTTAGTTGCTCCCCTCCCCTCTCGACCCCTGGACATACTGACATCAGCATTAACCACACCGTCAGATGGCCTGGCCCCCACCTAGCAAGGTCTCTGCCAGCAGGACTCCATCCTAGCACCCACCTTGCTGCTGACACCAATGGGTGCTCATTCCAGGCTTGCTGAATTACTTCAACCACCTGGTTATGACCATAAGTGACGAGAACTCTGAAAACCCATGTTGTGGGGTTGTGGCGAAAAGTACCCTCTCATAGGAGTTTCACATAGAGGGAAGTGGGGTGCTGGAGAAATGCTGTTTTGGGGCCCAGATGGCAGATGCCCAGCCAGCCTTCCACCCCGTGACTCTTCCCTAGGGCCATTTTCTCCCTCATACCCTGGCTGGCTGCTTCAGCTTCCCTGGCTCTGCACTGAGAGGAGGAAGCACCCATAACTGTGCAGTTGGTGGGTAAGCTGACCACCAGGGAGCCCACAGCCACTTCCCATATCCAAAGGAGAGAGAGGTGAGTGTCCTAGCAGAGGGTCAGAAAAAGATATTCAGATGGTCCATCATTCTCTCAAGTCCTAAAAGGGTCCAGGGAGTAGACAATATTCCCCAGAGGAATGGAACCTTCTCAAAATGCTGGCATCTAAGATTTAAAATCCCCCTAACATATGATGTAATTGTGAAACAGGGAGACAGATAATACCTGATGCTAGACATTATCACAAAACACAATCCCTACCAGAAACATGAGTGTCTCTTTAGGACAAGGCTCTATGCGTGGTGCTGGGTACTTGTACATTCCACTTATAAAAACGCAGTCCATTGGAGCAAATCTGATGTAGGTAAATATTGGAGAGATGCTAGCTTCATTGATCATGTACATTTCAAAAGTAATATGTTTCTAGTACATAGAATAATCATTAAAAGGCAGAAATCAAGGTTGTCACTCAGAAAAATATGAAGAAAAACAGTATTCACTGTATATGAATAATATTACATTATTGCTAATAAATAGAGAACTCGTGAATTCTTATCTCAGGATAATGAACAGTAAAAGGTGGGAGGACATACTTTTGAAGACTTCAGTGCCATCGGATTCTCTTTTTCTTTTCAACTTGGCTAATAGAAAGTGAATTTGATCTCACAGTCACACAGATGAACAGTCAGAGGAAACCGATTCAGAATTAAACCGAAACAAAATAAACAAGCAAAAAAACCACAAACGACCAAGGAGTAAAGCCAATCATAGGCTGAATTTGTTGGCTGTGTCAGGTTCATTCAGGAAGCTGGGTCCCAGCCTGTGTTACCAGGAAAATGATGCTGAATCTAATCCTCAAAACTGCAGCTATGTTAATTACAAATCACAAAATATGGAGGTGTCCTGTTTTTAATCATTTATCAAATGCATGAAGGGCAACCAAAGAGGAAATGGAACATTAGAAGTGAACTTCTTAGAGTGTAATTTCCTAGAAGAGAAATTTATGGCCTGTACTTATTCTCCATTAGAGCACGTCTAACCTCTTGTATTAGTTTATTCATCAAGACAGCCCTGGTTTCAGGGCAGCTCTGCAAGCCGGCAGGTCATCAGGAAAGGGATCCTCTGGGGGCTTTTCCTCCTAGGTCCAGTTGTGTTTTCCAGATCATAATGCAGTTAACAGAAGTATTCATGGTGCATTCGTCAGGAGGTTTGTAGGTTTTCCCCCAAAAGGCAATTCACAGAGCAAGCCCCCAGGGCTATATGGATATAAAGTGAACATCTAAAATGTGCTTTGAAATGAAATGATTTTCTGTTTGCTGTATGAGGTTTGTGATTGCCTCTCACAGCATTGCTTCTATTGCCTTTATGACTGGGTTCAATTTCTTATTTAGTGATGTAATAGAGGGGCGCTTTAGAATCTGGCAGCAAGGACTTCCCAATCAATGAGCAAATCTATCCTTCATTCGCTGTGCACCTCGCCCTTCAACACCGTGGCTTAGATCTGGGCAACCCCACCAGGCGCCCAGATATCAGCCATACGTCCCTAAAATTGTCCCTACTCCCCTGCCTGCACGGCTATTTCTCTCTTTCACCACATAGTTCCCTGGCCCTGCAGAAGACAGCAACACAAACCCTACTCTAGGTTTTCTCTCCCTCTCTGTGTTAGCTCACTCTTTCTGTAAATCATATAACATTAATAATGTCATTGTGAGGAAAGCAAGCACACTTGATAGTTGCAACTTGGCATAGGGGACTGGAATGAAAAAAATACGACAAAGAACATCTTACCTTGTTTTAAGAATATTCAGAAACTGCAAAATTTCTGAAAACTGTATCAGTCTCAGAGCTCTTAAAAATCTCAAACCTGGAAAGAAGAGTGAGAGAGATGCATTATTTTCAATGCGTGGTTTTAGTGTTCACAGTCTGCCATTTGATTTACAGTTCCCAAGGGTCAAAGGGATGGGAAGTTCTTGCAGAAGATAAACCAACTGGTACCTCGGACATATTCCCTCATTCTGATTCTTGACTGGTTTAATCTTGGCTGGTAAATGGACTTTCTCCTTATAAAGGTAGCCTGTTTGGAACCTCTTTAGGGGAAGGGCTCATGGGGAGGAGCCAGGTTAATGAGACTTTTCATTTGGTGATCTCTGATTGAAAGCCTGGTTTTCTAAGTTACCTAGCTGTCTGGCAGGATTTTGTCTCTGAAAAACCCTAGGAATTGTGATAACTCAGGGAAACCCTTGCGCTAAGAGCAGATTGAGACTAAATCGGATAACCTTATGTCTTTGATGGATTTTATTTTTTATCTTTATCTTCATCCCTGATAAAATGAAGAGTACAGCCCACAGTGTTATCTGTTTTCTACAAACTTCTACATTTTCCTCCCAATAAAAAAAAAAGATCAGTAAGATATCACACCCCACAACTTTAGGATTCAAAATTTATATAGTTCCCCTTTTATTAAGAGTTAAGAGAAATGGTTTGTCCTTTCTAAATCAATGACCTTTCTTGAATGGAAAAGAAACATCAATGTTTAGGTGGCAGAAGACAGATGAAGAAGGAAAACACATCAAGAACCCTTTAAAATGCAAATTATTATCTTTTAGTAGCTAAGAGTAAATTATATTTCTGTTGAGGTGAAATTCATGAGTCAGAACATTCATAGTCAGTCCTGGGCTATACCACTTTGGCTATCATGCAAGGATATGACTTACAAAATGCTGGTTTGTCACAGCTTTGAGACACACTGAATGTCACACCCACTCTCAAGGGGGTTTTCTTTTGCAGATTTTCTAGAAGCATTTTATTAAGCACCACCGTGTGCCAAAGGCAGTGTGAAGCCCTCCAGAGCACTGAGTTGACAGACAGCTCTATGCCCGTGGGTGGGGCTTTGTTCTCCCACACCTGTGAGGCAGTGAAAAGGCAGCCTAGGGCACAGCAGTGGGAAGGAATCCTTACTACCTTCTCCTTGAACTAAGAGAACGCTAACTGCACCCAACATGGAGCTGACCTGTTTAGGTAATAAGGGAAAATTAACTTAAAGCTTGTGATGTGGGGGAAAATCTGACTCTACAAAGAAAGAGAGAAAAGGATTGGCTCAAAAAATAATTTCTCATCTGAAAAAAATTTACCATCACAAACAGAAGACATTTTTATGAAAACATTCTCCTTCTATGCTAAATAATATTTATATCACTTTTTATTAAATAATTGCAGAGATGAGACGGGATGTTGATGAAATAGAAGGGCTCACGGCCAAAAGCACAGTCATAACTGAGCTGATGAAAGCCTGACTTAGCACTGCTGAAAACTGGCCATGGTGTGGAGTGCAAAACTAAGAAACCATCCCAGAAAGCAGAGAAAATAGGAGAAAGGGAGAGAAAAAAGATGAAACTTCAGAAAGTAGACAGAGATCCAACCCGTAAATAAAATGTGTTCCAAAGGGAAGTCCGAACAGCACACTGATCAGAAGCAAAGGCCAGGACATCACAGAAAAGAACTTTTGAGATACGAAAAAATGACTGGCGACTAAAACATAAAAAGCAGGATCAGCTCTTAGAGACCAGAGCCAAGAAGCATCTGGCTTTTCACATTCACGTTTCAAGTATTAAAATCAAGCAATAAAAATGAAGCATCAGTGCTGATGGGGTCATTTACCATTAAAGTAACAAAGATCATTATATAGAAGTGTTAAATGGTGATTAGGAAATTCTCATGATTTTTAGACAAACAGAATCTGACCCAAGATTTCTATACCCAGTGAAGTGGTTGTTCAAGAATAAAAGTGACAACAAAATTTTAAATTCTAAGGTCTCAAAACAATATATTGCTTGCTCAGTGTGTGCAGAAAGCTTTCAAAGAGGTTCATAAGAGTTGCTAAATCAGAATGGGAGGGGCAAAGGCTAGAAATTAAACCTATATCAGACTCTACTGCTGGTTCTAACCTTCCAGCCCAGTCTAGACTGTTATCTCATACCAGCATCACTGCTGCATATTACTGAGCTAAAACAAACTTGGAAACTTGGAGTAGAAGGCCACTGGCAATTAGCACTGAAACCATCAAAGATACAACACCCTCCCATGTTCTTCCAGGGATACGCTCCAGGATTTCCTAGTGAATGTCTGAAACCTCAGCTAGTACCAGATGCTACATGTATTACATACACACACCTACGGTATAGTTTAATTTACAAATTAGGGACAGGAAGGGATTAACAATGAGAATAAGGGCCAGGCACAGTGGCTAACATCTGTAATCCCAGCACTTTGGGAGGCTGAGGCAGGCAGATCATGAGATCAGGAGTTTTGAGACCAGCCTGGCCAACACGGTAAAACCCCATCTCTACTAAAAACACAAAAATTAGCCAGGTGCTGTGGCACACGCCTGTAATCGCAGCTACTCGGGAGGCTGAGGCAGGAGAATTGCTTGAACCCAGGGAGGCGAAGATTGCAGTGAGCTAAGATCATGCCACTTCATGCCAGCCTGGGCAACAGAACAAGACTCTGTTCGGAGAAAACAAACAAATAAGCAATGGCAATAATAAAGTAGAACAATTACGACTGTATGCACCAGCATCACTATTCTTGCACCTTGAGGTCCTTATTAAGTAAAATAATGGTTGCTTGAACACATGCACTGTGGCAGCAAGACATGGGTGTGCCCACTGAGTGGCACCGAGAGACTAATGGGTCGGGAGTGCAGATGGCACGAATATGCCGGACAAAGGGAGGATTCTTGTCTCAGATGGGGCCAAGCAGGACAGCATGCAACTTAAAACTTATGAATTGCTAATTTCTAAAATTTTCTATTTAAGATTTTCAGACTACAGTTCATGGGGGGTAACTGAAACCTTAGGAAGCAAAACCGTAAATAAGAGGCACTCCTGTAGAAATACACACACTAACAATGTATTAGCTGCTTAGGGTTTCATCGTGAAAATACTGTGTGTGCATAGATACAATTGTATTTATGGAACTAAAAATAGAATACAAACAACCTAAACTTCAAACTGGATTCCTCCTTTTAATCTTTAAATGAAGCCGTTTGTATCAGTTGCTAATCTACAGCTTGTCACATTTGAGTGAGCCACAAAAACATAACAGAATAAGAGCTTTCCTTTTAATTAAGGTGTATGAAAGTAAGGGGAGGAAAGAAATGAATGCAGAGGCCACAGGGTCCTGTCCTCTTGCTAGAGACAAACTGCAGATCTAGCTCTGAGCACCTTCTTCCCAAAAGCAAGCAAGGAGACAGGACAAGATTAATAGTGTATACATAAGAGAGAAAAACAAACTGGCTTGCAGGAGAATCATTTATTTTTCTCAACATGGAGACCAGAGGGAAATGTCTCCCTGCAAAAGGGACCCAGGGTGTTGCAGAAGCAAGACCCCTTGGGCTGAACAAAGGTGCCTTTGCCTATCTGACTGGCACTGAGTTTCATTAATGCAAATGAGTCATTGAAGTTCTCCATAGGTTAAAAAAGTTAGTCTACATTTTATCCTCAGATCAAGCCAGGCTATCTGGAGAAATGGTTGATGTAAAGCACGTGTCTTTCAGGAACCATTCACATTATTTCTGTATTAGTCCATCCTCACTCTGCTAATAAAGACATACCTGAGACTGGACAATCTATAAAGGAAAGAGGTTTAACTGACTCACAGTTCTGCAGGGTGGGAGAAGCCTCAGGAAACTTACAGTCATGACAGAAGGGGAAGCAAACACATCCTTCTTCACATAGTGGTGAGAAGGAGAAGTGCCAAGCAAAGAGGGAAAAGCACCTAATAAAACCATCAGATCTCATTAGAACTCACTATTACGAGAAGAGCAGTATGGGGATAACTGCCCCCATGATTCAATTACCTTCCACCAGGTCCCTCCCACAACATGTGGGTATTATGGGAACTACAATTCAAGATGAGATTTGGATGGGGACACAGTCAAACCATATCGGCTTCCTGACTGCTCTCTGCCCTGGACCCCTTGTGGTCTCTGCTCAGAAGCTTTCAATGCCCTCATTTTACACAGAGTAAAAGTCAAAGGCCTTCAAAGGCCTAAAGCAATACCACCCACCACCAGCACTATCCCCTTTTGGATCTGATGGCTTCCTACTGCCACTCCTACTGTGAATGATTCCTGAAAGACATGCTGATCTGGCAGATGTCTTCAGCGACCCTTGAACACACAGGCATGCAACTGCCCCAGGGCCTCTGCATGTGCAGCCTCTCTGCCTGGAATACTGTTCCCCAGATGCGCACATGGCACAGTTTCTCACCTCCTTTAGGTTCTCACTCAGTGTCCCGTGATCAGTGTGACCTTCCCTGGCTACCAAACCTAAACATGCCATTCCTCCCACACCACCCCTGAAACGCCCTACCCTCTTTCCTGCTTCACTTTCTCCTCAGCATGATGCACCAGCACCTCGGTTATGTGGTTACCTTCTGTCTCCCTCTCTGTAGCATCAGCTCTAGGAGGGGAGGGGCTGCTGTCTGCTTTGTTCAGGGCTATATTTTCCAACACTGAACATAGTGTCTGGCATAAGATGAAGGCTCAATAAATCCTTGTTTGAATAAATGAATGAATTAAAGTTTTGAGAAAGAATTAGGTGGCGGAGTTAAAGGTTAGATAATCCACATTCAGAATTCTGAGGCTCTATGTCGCCTACTAAAGGGAAAAGGCACAGCCCTGCGGGGTCCCCTGACAGAGGTCAGGGCTGCACTCTTAGGAAGTAGAAAGTAGCCTAATTGGGGAAAAGCCTTAACCAATGGCCACTCCTGCTATAACCAGAAAGAGCCCAGAGGACTACGGACAGTGATGTCAGGCTAAGACAGGAGGCCAAGAAAAGAGAGTGGAGAAGTAGACACCTCTCT